AAAAAAATTTACGTTTGGTTTTTTTTTTATTTTTTAATTGTTTAAAATGTAAATAACAATACTTATTTGATTGTTATTTTATGTATATATATATATATATATATATATATATATATATATATATACACATATATATATATATACATATATATATATATATATATATATATATATATATATATATATATATATATATATATATATATATATATATATATATATATATATATATATATATATATAATACATATATATATATATATATATATATATATATATATATATATTTATATAATATATATATATATATATATATATATATATATATATATGTATATATATATATATATATATATATATATATATATATATATATATATATATATATGTAAATATAAACTCTCATGTTGATATAAAAGTCCAATAGAAGAAAGTTAATAGCCAATGATATGTAGAAAATGTAAGGATTGATAAGAATAATAATCCCTTTTCATACCAAGACTACGTGAATATCATTTATTTTAGTAAATTTTAAATTTACCTCTCTGTAGCAGAGCTCAGAGAGCTCTGCGGCTAGCTTGCGGTTCTACGAATGGTTTTATGCTAAATCAAAGAAACAAGAAAAATAGAGGCAAGCAAATTAGAAAGTGCCAATAGACTGTTGCGCTAGTTTATAAAGTCTAGATTTTTGTATTTAAAGTCAGAATTTTGTTCTTAAGAATTTTTTGTTATTTCCACATGAATATAAGATTCGTTGATAACATCGAGTAAGAGTACCGCAAACCGGATACTCTTCACAAAAAGCTAAACAACTTTTTTAATATTAAGAATATGTAGGATTTTTTTTTCTGGAATATAGTTCATTATTAAAGCAATTTTGCAGTGTAAAAAAAAAAATTGAGGTTTTCATGGCAAATAAGATTTTATTTTTGTTAAAAGTGTCCGATTTTTGGAAGTTTCTCCGTAAAAGCAGACAGTTTCAAATTATATCAAGAAAACATAGATAAATTGAAAAATTCAATATTTTTATTTTAAAAATATACTCATAATTAAAATGCAAGCAGAAAAAACTAGAAAAAAATAAATAAATAAACATAAGGAAGCTTAAATTTAAAAAAAAAAAAAAAAAAAAAATTTATAAACTAGATTCTGCAACTTTTTGTGCAAAAGAGTTCTTCTCTTTTTATATATCTTTTTTGGAGACAAGGTTTACAATGCCACGAACTGCAACTAGATTTTTCACAAGTTTTTCATAAAACTTGCGTCTCTGGCGTTTCACTTTCGAAAAACTTTGCGCACTTTTTGCACTTTGTGTACTTTTTTTTGCTTTTTAGGCAGGAGTTTCTACATCTGCTGCAATTTCAACATAATTTCGTTTTAACAGTTTTGCGTCTTCTTCTTTTCTTAACTTATTTCTTCTGTAAAAGCTTGACCTGCCACTGATCTTACATTTCTGTTTTTTTTTTTGCAGGACTCTTGTAAGCGTTTTGGAATTGAAATTGCTTCAAGAGATTTCTTTCAAGACTAATTTTTACATGAGTTGCCAATTCTTCTTGAGAAGTTAAATTTAAAGTTGAAACTGATGTTGGAGTTGCAGGCGTGGTTAGGTTTGTGTTTCTTGGTCATTTTAAGGCAAAGAACTTGGGCTGCCTGTTAATTTTGTAACTGTTGATGTTGTTAACACATTATTAAAAGTTTAAAAAAATTTTAATTTTTGTTTGTCAATGTTGTCTTCATTTAATGGAAAATCCCCAGTGTTTTCAAAACCAGAAATAAAATGAGTACTAGTGTAAGCAATGTTGCTTCTATATAACTGTGCCTAAAGTTTTAGGAAAACTTTTTTAGACAAATTGCTAAAACCACTTTTAGCATAAAAGTTTCTTCAAATATCACGTTAAACAACTTTATAATGGCAAAATACATTAACATCTAAAGGCTGCAGATTATGAAGTGAATGGGTGGGAATGCAAATTAGTGTTATATTTTTTTCTTTACACTTTAAGGCTACACTTAATGACCTGTGTGATTGTGGCCATCCAAAAGAAAAATATGTTGACTACTAATTTTTAGAATGTGAGGAATAAACATTTCATCAAGCCACTGCAAAAATTGAATACTTTCCATCAAACCAGATGGTGATGTTGTGTAAAGTGTGTTTGGTGGACCTCCTTTAATCCAATCATCATAGAGTCGATAAATTGGTTTGTAAACAGCAAAAGGCGGTAGAAAGAACCAATCTACATTAACATAATTGAGAACGGGATAGTTAATTTTTTCGTTATTACCAGTCAATACTAGTGGACGTTCTGTACCTCTTCTGATAAATACTTAAATACTTTCGCATTGCCTTTGTCACCAATGAAACCAGTTTCATCACAATTCTACAAATGGGTCACTAAACTGAATCTTAATTTTGCTAAATCAAATTGTTTTTTTTTACAACATCAAAGTAACGGGCAATAATTTCTGGTGGGCATGATCCTGCTCTCAAAGATGCAAT